AAATGAAGGGCATTCAAGTCGAAAGTAATCTCTCTCATAAGTCCAACGAGGGTAAAATCTTATTGGAGTGGTGAAAATGAGGAATGTTGAGGTAAATAGCATTGAGTGGATTTAAAGAGAATCAAGCGATCCTCCATTCCTCTCTTCCTCATGGGCATATGTGATTACATGAGATGAAATAAATAGAGGGAGTGAAGGCTTGTGTGGCACTTTAAACAAACCACAGAATGAACTGCAAGACCAGGCCATGCAGTTTTGGAGCTGAAAAGCAATGTTTTATGACCTTGTGCTGACCAGAAAAGTATTTGTCACAAATTAATATTACAGCTTCAATGAAAATGGCATAAAATTTCATCAACCTTTATTATGGGACAGGCTGTGAAGATGACAAAATGAGTTTACAAAGTGGTGTGGATAGGCTAGGTGAGTCGTCAAAAAAAATTGCAGACGAAGTTATCATGTGAGTTTGTCCTCTTTGGCACGATGCTTATCAAAGCATATTAGTTAACTAAAGAGATATTACAGATCTTGGAGGCATGGAAAGATCTGGGTATCCTGGTATAGAAGATTCAGTTGACTTGTACCTGAGATGTGGGTGCACCATATGAGGAAAGGTTGGATAGGCTCGCTAATATCTATTGGTCTTTATCAAAATGAGAGATGGAGATGGTAACTATTAATTGAGACAGACAAAATCCTGAGAGGACTGAACAAGGTAGATGTTGAAACAGAGTTTTTCTTTATGGAGAGTCTAAAACTAGGGCACATAGTTTAAAAATAAGTTGTCTTCCAATGAGAAGAAATCAATTTTCTGTGAGAGGGTCATGAGACTGTGGAGCTCTGTTCATTGAATAGTTCTAACATAAATGTGGATAGATTAATACTAATTTGGGGAATCAAAGCTCATCGGAATTAGGTGGGAACATGGAGTTAAGGACACGTTAGATCAGGCATGAACTTGCTGAATGACAAAGCAGGCTTCAGTGACTCCATAAATGTGACGTGTTGCATTTTGGCAAGACAAACTAGGGCAAGACTTGTACAGTTAATAGTAGGGCTCGGGCAGTGTTGTCGAACAGAGAGACCTCCGGGTGCAGATTAATAGTTCCTTGAAGATGGAGCCGCAGGTAGACAGGATAATGAAGGCTGCATTTGGTAAGCTTGTCTTTATTGTTCAGTGCATTGAGTATGGGAGTTGGGACATCTTGTTGTGACTGTACAGGACAATGGTTAGGCCACTTCTAGAATGCTGTGTTCAGTTCTGGTCTCCCTCATATAGGAAGGATGTTGTGAAACTTGAAAGGGTTCAGAAAAGATTTACAAGGATGTTGCCTGTGTTGGAGAGTTTGAGCTATAGGGAGAGGCTGAATAGGTTGGGGCAATTTTCTCTGGAGTGTCAGAGGCCGTGGGGTCACCTTGTAAAGGTTTATAAAATCACGAGGGGCATGAATAGGCTGAAGAGCTAAGGTCTTTTTCCCCAAGCAGTCCAAAACTAAAGGACGTAGGTTTAAGGCGAGAGGGGAAATATTTAAAAGAGACCTGAGGGGCAACATTTTCTTAAACAGGATGGCGAGTGTATGAAACAAGCTGCCAGAGTAAGTAGTAGGGGCTGGTAGGATTACAACATTTTAAAAGACATTTGGAGAGGTACATGGATAGGAAGGGTTTAGAGGAATATGGACCAAATGCAGGCAAATGGGATTAGTACAGTTTAGGAAACTGAAGATACTGAGGAGGGAGGAAGTAAATGGGCAGGTGTCGCACCTTCGCCTGTTGCAAAGGAAGGTGCCATGGGGCTGTGGGGAGGAGGGAGTGTTGGGGGTTAAGGAAGAGTAGATCAGGGAGTGTCCCGGAGGGAACAGTCCCTGCGGAAAGCAGACAAGGGAGGCGAGGTGTCTGGTGGTGGCATCTCACTGGAGGTGGCAGAAATGGCATCTGATGATCTTCTGGATGTGGATGCTGGTGGGATGGTAGGTAAGGACAAGGGGAATCCTATCACTGTTGCGGGAGGGAAGAGAAGGGTGAGGGCGGAAGCACGAGAGATGGGCTGGACCCAATTGAGGGCCCTGTCAACAACGGTGCTGGGGAATACTCGGTTGAGGAAGGTGGTGGATATTTTGGAGGCTCCCTTGTCAAAGTTGGCCTCATCTCTTCAGAAAATTTTCTGAAGAAGGGTCCCAACCCAAAACATCAGCTTTCCTGCTCCTCTGATGCTGCCTGGCCTGCTGTGTTCCTCCAGCTCCACACTGTGTTATCCCATACTGTAAGGAATCTGCGAAACCTGTTTGGCATGGACAAATTGGGACTAAAGGGCCTGTTTCCATGCTATATAACGCTGACTCTATTTAAACTATAATAAGTGTGACAGCAGTGCTAAGCTCAGTACTCCACTGTCAAAGCATCATGTAATGCAAAGATCTCAGCATGGAAATGGTTTTTAATTATTAGGGTGTGGGCGATACTAGATGGCAAGTTGCCCTAAAAAGATTAGTGGGTGAATCCCTTGAATCATTGCAGTGTTTGTGCTCCATTGCAGTGTTTCTGCTCAGGCTGTTTTCACAGTGGGGTTTCTTGTGAGTAAGGAAGCAGTGAGGTATGTCTAAATCAAAGCAGTATGGCTTGAAGAGTAGCTTGAGTATAATTGTCATCGTAGGATTTTCTTCTTGCCCTCCAAGTACAATTGATTTACTGAAATGGCTTGGTGCTATACTTAGTTGAATGCCATGTTATGGTTAGGGGCAAGGGCTCTCACCCTGCTGTTGCCTTCAGCTTATGAGTCTGGATCCAGGATGTGATGAACTTTGGTCGTTAAGTGCCTATGGTTGAATCAACACTGAACTTAGGTGAATGGTTGAATAGGTGTCACTTGATGGAATTGTTGGTGATTGTATCCATCACTGAACTGAAGATTAAGAGAAAGTGCATCACATGGATGATTGGCTAGCTGAGATTTTCTGTAGTATTTTGAGGATCAAGAGACACATAGTCATGTTTTCCACATTAGTCAAGTGTGTAGCGCTATTGGACTATGGTTGTGCTTGCCTCAGATGATAACTAATTCTGTAGCTTAGGTCTTCCTTATCTTCAAGATATTGATGTCCATAGAATTTACTGTATTTAACGTTTTCAGCTGGTTTTTAATATTCTCTGGAGGTGTATGCAGTTGGTTGGTCATTGACATCTATAATGCGGAAGACCTCTGGAGTGGGCCCATTCAATTTTTACTGAAGATGGATGCAAACTTTAGTCTTGTTTTTATACACTCACGCTGATCTATTATGGTTGAGGATTGAGATATTCATGGAACTGAATGTGTCTCCTTGCAGTTGTCTCATTTACCATGGCTGCTGTTAGAGCCATAGAGATGTACAACGTGGAAACAGACCCTTTGGTCCAACTCTTCCATGCCGACCAAATATCCTAGATAAATCTAATATCCTTTTCCAGCATTTGGCCCATATCCCTCTAAACCCTTTCTTTCATATATACTCATCCAGATGCTTTTTAAATGTTGTAATTGTACCAGCCTCCAGTACTTTGTCTGGCAGCTCATTTCCATACACTCACCACCCTCTGCATGGAAAAAGTTGCCTCTTAGGTCCCTTTTAAATCTTTCCCCTCTCATTTTAAACCTATGCCCTCTAGTTTTGGATTCCCCTACTCCGGGGAAATAATCTTGTCTATTTACCTATCCGTGCTCCTCATGATTTTATAAACCTCTATAATGTCACCCCTCAGCCTCCAACTCTCCAGGGGAAAATAGCTTAAGCCTGTTCAGCCCCTCCCTATAGCTCAAATTCTCCAAACCTGGCAACATCTTTGTAAATCTTTTCTAAATCCATTCAAGTTTCATAGCATCCTCCCTGTACGAGGGAGACCAGACTTGCACATGACATTACAAAGGTGACCAAACCAATGTCTTGTACAGCCGTAATATGACATCCCAACTCCAACAAACATCCCAATAAAGGCAAGCATACCAAATGCCTTCTTCACTATCCTATCTACCTGCGCCTTCATTTTCAAGGAACTATGAGCCTGAACTCCAAGGTCTCTTTGTTTAGAAACACTCCCAGGACCTTACCATTAAGTGTATGAGTCCTGCCCTGATTTACCTTTCCAAGATGCAGCACCTCACATTTATCCAAATTAAACTCCATCTGCCACTCCACGACCCATTGGCCGATATGATCAAAGTCCCATTGTACGCTGAGGTAACCTTCTTTGCTGTCCATTACGCCTCCAATTTTGACATGATTTGTTTTACGATGAGAAAACGTTGCTAATTTTGAAACCACTTGAGTTTTTCTTCTGTGGCCTGCTGTTTTTGGTGTTTTAGATGCAATTAAGTATTGTAGCCTCACAATCATGGTGCCTCATTTTAAAGTGTGCCTGCTACAATTGCCTACCTTCATCATTGATCCTGGACTGGTTTCCCAGTCTTGTGCTACTGGAAGCATGAGGCACATGATGTAAAATACGGAGGAGCTTCAGTTTTTTTTCTTGGACATTGTTATGCCTTCAGGGCATCTAAAGTGCTTCAGAAATGCTTAATTACAATTTCACATGTGCAGCAAACGGCACGTAATTTTTTCTGAAAAAGCCAATGAAATGAAAATCCAGTTAGTCTTTCAGGTGCTGTTTGAAAAGAGATTGTTGGCCATAACAGCAGGAGAGCTTCTGTACAAATAGTGCTCATGTGTTTACCTGAACAGGCAGCAAGGACTCGAATTTAACGTTTGAGGTTTCAATGTTCCCATTATACTCTAACAAAGTATCAAAATGGATTTACTGCTTTAAGTCCTGGTTTGAGACTTGAATGTTCTGTCTCGAGGTGAGAGTACTACAGGCTAAGCAAGCAGGTTTATCTGTTTAAAATGCTAATTGGAGAGCAGTTGCACATTATGTAGATATCGGCAGCAAAGTGTTGATGAGATAAGTGGTTCCAATGTTCCATTTTATAACTTGTAACCTGATCTTGCAATATCTAAATTTTGCAGGGGTTTGACCAACTCCGAATTGAAGGCTTACTTTGTGATGTCACCCTTGTGCCAGGAGATGGTGATGAAATATTTCCAGTCCATAGAGCAATGATGGCCTCAGCTAGTGACTATTTTAAGGCTATGTTCACAGGTAAGATCCAAAAAAATTGTCACAGCTCTTGTGAAATGAAAGGAATTATATAATCAGATGACAAATTTGCGAGTTATCATATCATTTTCTAGTTTGAAAGACATTGTCGAATATCTACTCTTGTACTTGCCAATGGTGCACTGTTCCACAAAATGAGAAGCACTGCTGTCTGTAGGTTTGTTCTGGATGCCTTGGGAATTGATGAGTGATCTCCAGGACACTGTTGTAAGGAAATCTTCAACAAATCCATTGAGAAGTTTAAGAAATGTTCTTGAAAATTGTTTGTATGTTTAAAATTTATAGGTTATTAAAAAGTATTGGAGATTGTAAAAAGATCAATTCAAGCAACAAAGAGCTTGTTAAATTGCACAGTCAATGGGCAGTGAGGATGGACTTGGCCCAAGAACCATCACCAGCTATCTACGAGGCCTCCTACAGAACTTAGATTTGCTGGATCCTGATTTGAATCAGACAGGCCATCTCACCTAATTTTTTGGCAGTTTAATATTACTGGCCTGTCATCACTGATTGCCCAGCCAGTAGAAATAGACTTTCCTTAGTATCTATCAAAAATATGCATGAAATTCCTTATGGCCACTCTTGCTTCATCGGAAATAGTGCATCAAGCCTCTTCTCAAATATAACTTTCCATCACTGATGTCATCCTGATGAATCCGTTTGTGCATGCTCAAGTGATTTAAGCCCATTGTATGATGAGATTTCCAAAACAGCACACAGTACATTTTTGTGATGTAATCATTGCCTTAAACAAAGGCATTATTCTGTATCATTGTTCTCTGTTTTCCTATTCATAAAAAAGAACATCAGTTCATGCATGCACATATCAGAACAAAGTTGTGACATTTTACAGGACTCAATTTGCAGTTCCACTATGGAATGAAGTATGGACCCTGGTATAGTTTCATGGTATTGTTTTTAACAGGCTCCGTTTTTCAGATCACTGATATAAGAGGCTTTGTCACACAAGGTGTTATGAGAATAATAAGAAACCTGTGCATTTTTTCTTGATGTCCATTGCTGTGAAAGTAGCAACTCAACTCAACCATGCAAAAGTTCTAAGGTATGTGATTCCCCCTGGCACCTCACGACACCCACTCAGCCCCAGCCCCAGCCCCATCACCATTCTGGTTCAAGTTCACTACATATTCAATATCAATCTGTATGAAAAATGAATTCCAAGCAGAAGTAGGCCTAAGATGGAGGTCAGCCCAACCAACCGGTAGTTTCCTGTCTCTGCCTCTCTCCTTTCTTAAACAAGGGTGTTATATTAGTCATTTTTCAGTCTTCTGGTACCCTCCCTGACTCCAGTGCTTCCTGAAAGTCCGCCACCAATGCCTCTACAATCTCCTTAGCTATCTTCTTCAGAATTCTGGGGTGTAGTCCATCTGGTCAGGATGACTTATTCATCTTCAATCCTTTAAGCTTCCCCAGTAACTCCTCAGGGATAACCAATACACTTGCCTCTGCCCCATGACTCTCTTGAAGTTCTGGTAAACGACTGGTGTCTTTCACTGTGAAGACTGTGTTGTAAAGTACCTATTCAGTTACTCCACTATTTCTTTGTTTCCCATTACTACTTCGTCAGCCTAATTTTCCAGCAGTGCAATTTCTGCTGCTGATACCTTTTTAAAATAAAAAAACTCCTGCAATCTTACTTTATATTATTAGCTAGCTTACACGTTTCCTTCATCTCGGTCCCTTACTCCTTTTTAAGTTATCCTCCACTGGTTGTTAAAGGCTTCCTAATCCTCTTTCTTTCTGTGAATTTTTACTACATTGGATACTTTTTCTCTTGCTTTTATGCTGTCCCTGACTTCCTTTTTCAGCAGTGGTTGCCTTGCCCTCCCCTTTAGTATGTTCTTTTTCCTTGGGATGAATTTCTGCTGTGCTTCCTGAATTACTTCCAGAAACTCCTGCCCTTACTGCTCCACTGTTTTCCTTGCTAGGCTTCCCTTCAAATTAAGTCTGGCCAGCTCCTCTCTCGTATCTTTATAGTTAGCTTTACTGAATTGTAGTACCATTACATCTGATTTCAGCTTCTCCCTCTCAGAATTCACCCCAGTTTTTCATATTATGGTTACTGCACCCTTAGGGTTCCTTCACCTTAAACTCCGAAATCAAGTCTACCTAATACACATCATAAAATCCAGAATTGCCTGTTCCCTAGTGTGCTGTGCCACAAGCTGCTCCAAAAAAACCATCTCATAGACATTCCATGGATTCCTTTTCTTGAGATGTGCTGCCAACCTGATATTCCCAGTCCATGTGCATGTTGAACTACCTGATGATTATTGTAAAAGTGTCTTTCATACATACCTTTTCCATTTCCTGATTTAATTTCTGCCCCACATCTTGACTACTGACTGCTAGGAGACTTGTACATAACACCCATCAGCATCTTTTTTTACTTAGGCAGGTCCTCAACTCTAGTCCCACAAAGGCTTAGGCCTTTCGACACTATATCAGTTCCTACTATTGATTTAATTTCATTTCTTCTTCACGCTTCTCACTCTGCCCATCAGCCTGTCCTTTTGATAGGGTGTGAATCCTTGGATATTTAGTTACAAGCCCTGATCCCCTGCAGCCATGTCTCGGTGACACCCACACATCATACCTGCCAATTTTAATCTGCACTACAAGCTCATTTACTTTGATATGTATACTACGTGCATTTAAGTACAACACCCAAGTCTTGTGTTGACTGCCCCCTTCTCATAGTTGTCCCCAACTTACCCATACACCCGCACATGTACGCATGCACGTGCACACACACTATTTAGTCTCAAGCTCTATCCACAGCTCTAGATATGTGATTTACCAGGACTCTGGTCACAGCATCAATCAGGTGGAATCTGTCCCATTGAAACCACTCCATCCTTTCCTGATTTTGATACTAATATGCCATGAATTCGAACCTGTTTCTCCCACACCAATCTTTGAGTCACATGTCTACCTCTTTAATCTTATTGACCCTGTGCCAGTTAGGTTATGGTCAGGTAGTAATCCTTTTTCGGTTCTGCTTTTTAACTTGGACCTAGTTGCCCATATTTCCTTCGACAACTAGATCTTTCCCCTCCCACTACAGGTTCCTCTGCAGTCCAGATGAGGGATCTTTAAACCGGGCACCAGGCAGGTAACACAGCCTTTGGGACTCTCGATCCTGGCTACAGAACAGTGTATATTCCCCTGACTATTGCCATCCCTGAGTACAACTACATTTCTCTTGCTTTCCCCTCTTGAATGACTCCCTTGACAATGGTGCTATGGACAGTTTGCTCATCCTCCCTACAGCCCCCACTCTCATCCACACAGCAAGAGTCTCAAACCTACGTGACAAGCTCAAGGGCTGGGGCTCCTTCAGCACTACCTCCTGGATCACTCTACCTAACTCGTTCGTAGTCACATCCGCCTGTCCCTGACCACAGAGTGAATTCAAAGTAGTTAATCTGACAGGTGTGACCGCCTCCTGAAAGATAACATCCAGGTAACTGTCCTCTCCCTGATGTGTCGCCATGTTCAAAACTCAGACTCCAGCTCATCAATGCTGAGCCAGAGTTCCTGAAGCAACCAACACTTGCTACCGATGTGGTCACTATGAACCACATTGTGGTCCACCAGCACCCACATCATGCAGGTACAACACTATGCCTGGCCCTGCATCTCTATGTTATTCACTTAGTTCTGAATTTGAATTTTAAGAATTTCCAACTGATCTTTCAATTTGTAACATCAACATTTCCCCTGTTTACAATCTGAAAGTAACCTATTGTCAAATTAGTAGCCATCACCAGCCAGTGAACTTATGGTTTACCTGTGATGTCACTCCATGCGGAGCCCCTGATCCTGTTCTTAAAAAAAAATCCTTGCAAGCTATGGGCCAAAAAAGCAAGCAAAAACCGCCTTGTTCCCCACTGTACCAAATTGCCATACTACCTCCAAATTACCCAAACTATTTACCTACTTTGGCCATGCCTCACTCCAGATGTGATCTGATTCCTGACTCTAAAACTTATTGATGTTGTGCTTTCAACAGGTCCTTTCTTAAAAAAGAACTCTTCCCACTTTGCTTGCATTTTCCTTAATGGCCAGCTTACAACCTTCTTTATGAACAGTTATAACACTTACACTGCAATAGACTTCACGCTAACGGGCCCATAGGTTTGTGTTCCGAGGAAGGGTCATCGGACCTGAAACTTTAACTCTGATTTTTTCTTCACAGATGATGCCAGACCTACTGAACTTTTCCAGCAACTTCTGTTTGTGTTATAGCTTTGTGTTTTTACTGGCTGCTTCCCTTCTCGAATGGAAAGGTTATATATTTTGTAATCCAATCAGTTTCAATCTTTCCAGAATCTGGTGAATTTTGGGAAATTCACAGCAATCTACATATCACCTCATCAGTAACCTCTTTTAAGATCCTAAAATGAAGTCCACCCAGAACCAGGGACTTGTTAGCTTGCAATTCCATTAGTTTGCTCAATGCCGAGGAGTTTAATGAACAAATTAAATGAGCTGCAGACACTGATTCAAATCAAAAACTATGATATTGTAGCTATTACAGAGACATTGCTGCAGGATTGTCAGGACTTGGAACTAAACATATGAGGTTATAAGGTTTACAGGAGGGATAGAGAAAATGGTAGAGGGGGTGGAGTAGCATTACTGATTAGAAACAGAATCACTTCTATGGTGAGGAAGGATGTAATGAGGGGAAAGCATCCAGTGGAGACCTTAGCGGTTCAACTAAAGAACTGAAATCACTGATGTCACACATAGACTACCTGGCAGCAACTTAGAAGTGCTAGATTGTACGAATGCTGAAATTGGGCAAGTATGTCACAAAGACAGAGTTGCAGTAATGGGGGATTTTAATCTTGACATAATCTGGGAAAGACCAATAAGCACTTGCCAGAAAGGTAGAATTTCTCGGGTGTGTTTGGGATAGTTTCCTATGGCAATGTGTCTTGGATGCGACAAAG